TTTTTTGGAAAATAGCAACGCACGAAAGTCAAAATAAATGGATTTTGGAAAGTCAAAATTGTCCTTCGATTAGTGCCCAAAATAATCGACACATATATTCAGAATACAATGAATTTTATCTTATATATAAAAATACTTCAATACATAAGATTTCGACAAACCAATTAGTGTTTAAAACTCCAAATAAATGAAGAAAAATATGAGCACAAGACATTTATGAATTATTTTATGTTTTAGCCTCATTTCTTCATCTTTATTTTATGTGTGTGAATGATACGCTAGGTATATATAGTTGTGGAGTTGCGTGACCATGAGTTACCAAGAAAATGACACATTTCTAAACTAGCCTAAGCAAAAGAGCTCGTGTGCTCTCTGGACATTGCTGGCCACGACAACTTTAACACTCACAAGTGCGGCTGGCACCGACAATGCTCACATGAGAGCGCACAAGGGTTTCGCGCACCTGAATGTGATGGTTTTTTAACTCAAATTAACTTTTAAATTACTTAAACTCAATTTTAAGCTATAAAAACACATTCATTCTCTTATATATACAACTTGCGATTAATTTTTTGTTCGCCCTAAAATGACTGAGATTTTTAAAAATTTTCTGTTGTATTTTTTTTTTCAAACGGCAAACAAATTCATTAAAACTCAAAGAATATCCGGTAACCAAAAGGCTACAACCATACATCACTTACAGTAGCAATGAAATAGCACGAGCAAGGTAAAACCTAACCCTCAAGGCCACAGTCTATTACAAAGACATAAAGCCCAATCAGTCTTAACACAATATTTAAAAAATTGTACCAACATGGACCTGGCAAAATTCCACCGAGTCCCTAATGACAGACAATGTAGAAGGCATGTTCTCCTTCAAGGCCAAACCCTTGTTAATTTCTTCCACCAACTCCTCAGAATGAAGCAACAAGGAAAACTGATTGCAGCCAGCATCTTTAGCTTTGTTCAAGCCCCAAGTCACAACCAACAACCACTCATCCTGTTCCTCTAATGTACCTTGCACCACTGTCTGCCACTGAAACAAAATGGCTCTTTGCTGGTACATAATGCCCTCCACAACCATCTCAGCATCATTATAAGGTGAAGCACTGAGAGTCATTGCTGACTTACCTACTTCCTTAAAAAATTTATGCTGCTGTAGATGATCATGAGAGTAATCACAGACATCAATTTCTCTGGTATGTTTGGCCTCTATCCATTCCACCCACTCTGATTTGGCATCTTCTACTATCTGCTTGTCATGGATCCAATCACCTTTGTAGAGCCATTTATTTCTAGCTTTCCATAGGTGCCACATAAGAACTGCAGACAATCCCAGCCTGTCCTCCTTCATATGAAGATCTGAAGCACAACAAACTTGAACCCACCATCTTTGGAAGACCTTGCCACTACACTGTTGAGAATCCCACTGTAAGCCACACAATTTCCAGCAGTTAATAGCTCTTTGACAATCAAACAGGATATGGTTGATATCTTCCATCTCTTCTCCACAAGTAGCACAAATAGGATCCACCATCATTTTCCTCTTTAGTAACTGATCATGTGTTCTTAAATGGCCAAACCAACATCTCCAGACAAAATTCTTTATTTTTGATTTCACATTCAAGTTCCAAGTTACCTTCCACATTTTTGCAATGAGTGATGGGTCCATACTTGAGCTGGCCATCTCCTGAAGCTCTGCTTTCTTCTGCATAATTGATTTGTACACCTCCTTAACTGAGAACAATCCTTTAGGATGCAAGTGCTAGATCAGTTTATCATTCCTTCCACGCATAGAGAAAGGGATTTTGGATATGGCATCTGCAAGCTGAGGATAAAAAATTTGCTGAAGTAAATCAATATCCCACTCTCTTCTACCCACCCTCATTAAATCACTAACCTTATCAAACCTAGAACTATTCCCCAACAAAGAAATCTCAAGAACAAGAAGAGGAAAATTAGGAATCCAAGGAGTATTCCATATGGATATGGAAGACCCATTTCTCACCTTAAACCTAGCCCCCCTTTGTAAATGCTGCCTAACCCCAAGAAAACTTTTCCACAGCCAAGAATCCTGTGGTTTAGAAGACACCCCAAAAAGACTGGACTGCCAAAAGTACCTCCCCTTCATCACTCTACTTACCAAAAGATTAGGCTGGGTAAGAAATCTCCACAATTGTTTGACTAGTAAAGCATCATTAAAAGCCAACCCCCCTTTATCTTTATCCCTCACCAGTTTATCCCACCCCACCCAGTGAATTTTCTTACCCCCCTCTCATTATTACCCCACCAAAAATCAGCTATATTTTGACATACTTGCTTGACCACAGAAATAGGAACTTTGAAACAAGACATGACATATGTAAGCAATGCACTCAAGACAGCTTTGATTAAAACCTCTTTACCACTCTCACTCAAAAACTTATTTTTCTAGTTTTTTACTCTCTTATGCACACACTCACTCAAGAATTTGAAAGTATCTCTCTTGTTTCTACCAATCCCTAATGGCAACCCTAGGTATTTGGAAGAATTAACCCTTGAGATCCCAGAAAGACAATCACAGATAGCCTCACAATGAGTTTCCAACATATTCTTAGAAAAAAAGATGGAGGATTTATCAAAATTGACTAAATGACCAGAATCATGCCCATATCTATCTAGAATAGAAACAATCAAGTTAGCATGCTGAATGTTAGCCTTACAGAACAACATAGAATCATCAACAAATAGAAGATGAGTGATGCTAGGAGCATGGGGCCCAATTTTTATACCCTGAAATTGCCCAGAATTAGAGGCCTGATTGATCAAAGAAGAAAAGGCTTCAGAAACCAAGATAAATAAGTAAGGGGATAAAGGGTCTCCTTGTCTAATCCCTCTAGTAGGCTGAATGAAACCCAAAGGAGACCCCTCAACATTAAAAGAAAAAGAGGCTGAACACACACAAGCCAAGATACAAGATATGAAAGTATGACAGAAGCCCATTCTCCTACAGACTCTGACAATGAACCCCAATTCTATCCTATCATATGCTTTTTCCATATCAAGTTTCACAGCCATGTAGTGCATTTTACCTCTTCTCTTACTATTTATAAAATGAATGCATTCATTGGCAAGTATAACATTATCCAATATTTGCCTACCAGGCACAAAAGCAGCTTGAGAATTAGAAATGAAAGCAGGAAGAACCACTTTAAGTCTATTAGCAATCACTTTGGGAATCAGTCCATACACAACAGAACATAAACTAATAGGCCTAAAGTCAGCAACACAAGTGGGATTGTTTTTCTTAGGAATTAAAGTAATCACAGTGTGATTCAACCCCCTAGGCATCCTTCCATTAGAAAAAAAATTATCAATAGCCAGACAAACATGATGTTTAATATAAGGCCAGGAATGCTGAAAAAAACAAGCTGTAAAACCATCAATACCAGGGGCTTTATCTTTAGCCACATCAAACAAAGCAAATTGAATTTCAGATTCCTCAATCTTAATCAAGTCAGCATTCATGTCTTCAGAAACACAACAAGCAATACCATCCAGAGGACATATCTCATCTAAAGGATTTGAAGATTTAAACAAATTCTCAAAGTAAACAAGCAATTCAGATGCTACTTCCTGAGAATTGACACAAGCAGACCCATCAGCTTTCAAAATACCATCTAGCCTATTCATCTTCCTTCTTTGATTAACACAAGCATGGAAGTATTTAGAATTCCTATCTCCCCCTTGAAGCCACTGCACCCTAGCCTTCTGTTTCCAGAAGTTTTCCTCATCTCTATAGGCTAAGTGAAGCTCAGCTTTCTTACTAACCCATTCTCCCCAATCTCTATCTCCTCCTAACTCCCTCAATTGATTTAACCTGGATTTACAATCTTCTATAGTGAGCTTAGCATTAGAAACATGACTTCTTTTTCCACTGAATAAGCTTCATTCTCACATTCCTAAGCCTATCCTGGATACTAAATAAAGCATGACCCACCACAGGTTTATTCCAGGCATCCTCAACTACAGAATTAAAATTCTCCCTTTGAACCCAAGAGGCATCAAAACAAAACCTTTTTTTCCCAGTCAAGATTTCAGGAAAGCATCTAAAAGAATCATACAATGATCAGAGGAATTTAAGTTAATGTGCTTGACAACATGGTTCTTATGGCGTCGCCTAGTCGTCGCCTTGGCGTCTGGGCATTTTTTAAATCAAGGCGTCGGGCCCGCCACGAGCTGCCTTCGTCTGGCGTCGCCTCACGCAAAATGTCGTCGCCTAGGCGTCTGCAATGGACATGGCGGCCATGGCGGAAT